GAGCATGAGGAAGATTTATCATTAACACCAACAAACTGAAATCTGTCAGATAAATAGAATTTAAACCAGTCTAGTGCTGTTCCTTTAATTCCTACGAAATATTCAAGTCTGTCTAAAATAATAATTTTATTAACTGTATCAAATGCAGCGCTGAGATCTAACAGGACAAGTACAGATATAAGTCCATTATCTGAGGCCATGAAAATGATTCTAATGGCTCTTGGAATACTGGTCATCAGTGTTTTTGTGGCCATATTAGCTCCATGGGTGATTAATAGGTTTTAGCTTCAGATAAACCCTAATAAGCTCCTATTATTATTTTCTAGAACCCACACGCATTGCTTTTCCTCTACAGGACACCATCAGGAAATTCACTCAGGAAATGTTCTTTCCACACATATGCTAATGTGTAATGATCTTTTATTAGCAAACTCTGACAGAGCAAAGAAAGCAGCACGACTCAAGCTAAATACAGTGGGGCAAAAAAGTATTTAGTCAGCCACCAATAGTGCAAGTTCTCCCAATTACTGTGACGGGGTTCTTTGCCCTCCAAGAATCCAGGCTCAGTCGGGTTACCGGTGTTGGTGATTTATTGTGCTCAAAAACTCAAAACAGGGTGCAAAAGAAACTAAACATATACAAGATACTCTGGGCCTCACCCTGAATTCCCACATACTCCGTCAGCGCTCCGCTCCGCCCCGCTGCGCTCCAGACCGCCTGCGCAAAGCAAAGCTTACAGCTGCTGCTGTGGTCCCGTCCGCTCTGCTCTGAGTTCCTTGGAGATCGTAGAGGGCATGCGCGAGATGAACCAGGGTTTCCGCGGATCATTAAAAATAATTACAATTCATTAATTTTTTCTTTAAATCAAGGCCTTAATTGGCACTAAAATTATTTAAATATGTTTATCGAAGTATTTATAATTCTTTAATAAAAAATGCTTATAAAAACAATTTCGTCCGATATATTATATCGCTATTAATTTGCGTGAAACTGATCATAAAGCCGTATGTTCAGAAAGGAAGCTCGAGGTGGAGAAAAAGCTAGAGAATATATATATACGTATATATGTGTGTGTGTGTGTTTACATACATACAGGAGTCATGGAACTCTGCTTCCAGCTCCTTCATATTTCATGTACACTAATTACTTGTGTACATGGTTCTTGTTGATGGAATTAAAATCATTTCTAATAGCATTAAAATAGCATTAAATTAGAGTCACTCATTCCTGTATGAACCCTGTGAGCGCTTAATTTAATATGACATATTAAAAAAATCCCACCATCATCCAGCATATGTTCAGTTTCTGCCCAAATATTTATATATATATTTGTAGATTTTTGTAACAGGGATAAGGATAATTCAAAACAGCTTTTTTAAATGAACTTGTTCTCTACTCCCAAACTGAGCATCTCTTTTCATTCCTGTAATAAGAAGTTTCTTTTGAATGGATTTGATTAAACTTTAAGTCCCTCGGTATAAAATAAATGATGGAGATGAGAAATCTGCTTCCTGGTTGGTGAATAACCAATAGTTTTGATCCAATCATTTAAAAAAGACGGTGTTAGTTTTTTTTTTTTTTTTTTTTTTTTTTTTTGATATTTATAAGAATTGTGCTATAATTTATAGTCACCAATCTGTTGCTACTATATTTTAATTTGACGAACCGGAATTTCTCGATGTTCTTTTTCCTGTTTGGTGCGATTGCAATTGTGGATCTTGACCTGGCCGGACCGGAGCGGGGCAAAAAATAGCTCGGCTCCGTAATTTGTCGGTGACGGACGGAGAAGACGTACGTGGACGGAGACGTGCGGAGGAGTAGCGGTGGATGTGGAACAGCTCTCATTGATTTCCATGAAAGACAAGCGCTCCGCACGACGTACGTCAGCGGAGCGGAGCGCTGACGGAGTATGTGGAATCTGGGGGTCAGCCTCCCTCCAGTTACCAGCAATGTAACAAAGAAACAGAAAACAGAAATTGCCGCTTTTCTTCCCACAGCCCTCATTAAATAATTTAAGCCCCTACAGGCTCTCTTATTTCTGATTTCTTCTCATTAATCAGTTTTGTCCATATTTTACCTCCACAAACAATTGATGTACAAAAACAAATAATTTTTACAACTTAATTCTTTTACACAGATTCATTGACTTATTCAATTACACCAAACTGGGTTTGAACCCAGCAAAGACGCAGCCAGACTGAAGATGACAAGTCCCCATAGCATAAACACGTACACACCCACACCCCCCACACACCCACACACACACAGACACACGCGGCTAACCCCACTGAAATATTAAGTGTGCACCCTCAATACGCCAGCAGGTAACCAGGAACAGCTTGTGTGTTTTAAGTTAATAGACCGCTACTGGGCTCAGCGCAAGTGTATTGGTCCTCACAAACACAGTATAACAGGAATGTGTGTGTGGCGCGCAAAGTTAGAGAGGTTGTTTTAAGCGAGGAGGTGGATTCGTCGCAGTTACAATAACCATGACAGGAAATTTTCCTACCCTACAACAGGGATGTTCTTCTGGCAAACGGGTAGATAAATAAGGATCTCACCGAATTTGGTGGAAGCTGCACCTCGCTTGTTACATTCGCCATCGTCCCTTGTCTGCACCTGCGCTTGGGTTCAGAAGCCTGTTAAAGCGCAGTATTTTCAGCGCCCCAAGACCATAAAGTTCCGAGACGCTGATTGGCCATTAAATTCACCTAGCAATAGTACATGATTGACAGATTCTCTGCAAATGTGGGGCTGTCTGATCAGCGCCCCCAGAACAGAGACGGTAGGAGTCTGTCTGTGGAAATCCACAAATGAATGACAGTAGATAGGGAAATGTAGTTTATATAATTTGTTTTGCTTATAGGTACACACTCTAGAGAGTAAAACTGACATTTATGAGTTAATTTCTAAAAATATATTTTAAGTTTCTCTCTTCTTATCAGGGAGGGCGGTGCCCCAGCGCCCCCTATGGGCCGGCCGCCACTGTTTGTTACATACCCTTTGTTGGCAATGACAGAGATCAAACGTTTTCTGTAAGTCTTCACAAGGTTTTCACACACTGTTGCTGGTATTTTGGCCCATTTCTCCATGCAGATCTCCTCTAGAGCAGTGATGTTCTGGGGCTGTTGCTGGGCAACACGGACTTTCAACTCCCTCCAAAGATTTTCTATGGGGTTGAGATCTGGAGACTGGCTAGGCCACTCCAGGACCTTGAAATGCTTCTTACGAAGCCACTCCTTCGTTACCCGGGCGGTGCGTTTGGGATCATTGTCATGCTGAAAGACCCAGCCACGTTTCGTCTTCAATGCCCTTGCTGATGGAAGGAGGTTTTCACTCAAAATTTGACGATACATGGCCCCATTCATTCTTTCCTTCACACGGATCAGTCGTCCTGGTCCCTTAGCAGAAAAACAGCCCAAAAGCATGATGTTTTCACCCCCATGCTTCACTGTAGGTATGGTGTTCTTTGGATGCAACTCAGCATTCTCTCTCCTCCAAACACGACGAGTAGTTTTTACCAAAAAGTTCTATTTTGGTTTCATCTGACCATATGATATTCTCCCAGTCATCGTCTGGATCATCCAAATGCTCTCTAGCAAACTTGAGACGGGCCTTGACATGTACTGGCTTAAGCAGGTGGACACGTCTGGCACTGCAGGATTTGAGTCCCTGGCGGCGTAGTGTGTTACTGATGGTAGCCTTTGTTACTTTGGTCCCAGATCTCTGCAGGTCATTCACTAGGTCCCCCCGTGTGGTTCTGGGATTTTTACTCACCGTTCTTGTGATCATTTTGACCCCACAGGGTGAGATCTTGTGTGGAGCCCCAGATCGAGGAAGATTATCAGTGGTCTTGTATGTTTTCCATTTTCTAATAATTGATCCCACAGTTGATTTCTTCACACCAAGCTGTTTACCTATTGCAGATTCAGACTTCCCAGCCTGGTGCAGGTCTATAATTTTGTTTCGGGTGTCCTTTGACAGCTCTCTAGTTTTGGCCATGGTGGAGTTTAGAGTGTGACTGTTTGAGGTTGTGGACAGGTGTCTTTTATACTGATAAGGGGTTCAAACAGGTGCCATTAATGAAGGTAACGAGTGGAGGACAGAGGAACCTCTTACAGAAGAAGTTAGAGGTCTGTGAGAGCCAGAAATCTTGCTTGTTTGTAACTGACCAAATACTTATTTTCCACCATATTTTGCAAATAAATTCTTTAAAAATCAGACAATGTGATTTTCTGGATTTTTTTTTCTCATTTTGTCTCTCATAGTTGAGGTATATCTATGATGAAAATTACCGGCCTCTCTCATCTTTTTAAGTGCGAGAACTTGCACTATTGGTGGCTGACTAAATACTTTTTTGCCCCACTGTATATAAATAAAAAATCAATATAAATATGGTTCAACCATCTGACCCCTCCTTTATTCTGTCTGTTGGAGTTTCTTCAATTGGTTTGGTCAAATGTTTTTTTCTGCAGCAGTGACAGCAAGTATCCTCCTCTTGAGTGATACGGCTGAGTTACTTTGCTCTTCTGTGATGAGGAACCCAGACAAGAGCAAAAACAGCCCTGCTGATTGCTACATTTTAGCAAAAAATGAGGAAGCTACTCCAGACGGCTTTATCATTTAGGCCTGTTTTTCTCTTTCTAACCATAATGCTTCTTTTTGATATGATAGAACAGAGAATTTCATGAATCACTTAAAATCAGCTCACAGTCTGACACATTGAGCTGGGGTCTGTCTCTTCCAGGCAGAGGTGTACAGGAAGCGCTGCTGAGGCTAGGGTGTCTCATTACTTCCTCATTTGCCAGACAGTCACTGTGGTGTTGGATGGGAATTCTTTACTTTCTTTAATAATTCTTTGTGGGGAAACAACTTTAGGCCAGAATGAACTTCATATCTTCAGGTTTCTTGGCAGGATCCACTCGCTCCTCAAAATCAAGGACAGAGTTTGGTGCTTTTATGTGAAGTGTCCTTTATTTAAGAACCAATAGAAAGTCTTTCTGCTGTGTTTGTCTTTCAGACTGCCTGCAGGATTCTATTGGAAAAGAGGAGGATTTCTCTGACCAGCAGCTCTGTGGACAGGAGAGGAATTCCAGTTTGGATCAAGAGGAACCAGAAGCTCTGCAGATAAAAGAAGAGCAGAAAGAACCAGAAGATCCCTGGACTAAAGAGGAAACCATGGAGCTCCCCATTAGTGAGCAGGAAGAGCAGCTTGTTCTGAAGCAGCAGACTGAAGAGAAACCTTTCCCATGTTTGACATGTGGAGAAAACTTTCTTAAAAAAGAACATTTAATGGATCACATGAGAACTCATACAGGTAAGAAGATTTATGAATGTCTGTGGGAAAATGTTAACAAAGAAATCTAGACTTGATAGGTACATCAAAGCCTCCTACAAACCTCTTAAAAGCACTTCTGCATTATCCTTTGTCAGCTTCATTTTCTCTATCTTTCATATTGATTCTTTTTTTCTCTCCATTGAAATAAAATGTCTCCACGGCCTCCTTCACTAAAACAGCGGCCATTTCATGACACTTGATCATAAATGTGTAAGAGCTTAGAGAGCAGCAGCTGAGGTCATTCTCAGCAGGCATGCTCTTCTTCTCGTAACACCGGTTCAGTGAAAAGCTAAAGGGCTATTCCACCTGTTTTATTACAGCCTTAAGTGTCATTTATCTGCTCTTCATGAAAATCTAAACCATTCAGATGCTTAAAAACTGGTTTATATTATTTCAAGATAAAAGCAGAAATTTTAAAACTCCCTTTTGGTTTTTTGAAAGCTTTTTCTGCTTTGTGAGATTCAATAAAGAGCTCTGGAAGGGCCTATTTTTATTTTTTGCATCTGGGCCACATATTTAACCTGGCATAAACCAGATTGACATGTAGTTAAATTCAGTTCCTACACCGTATGAATCTGGGTATCGTTCTGTAGAGGCTGTTAGCAAAAGGGAGGATCATTCAGTACAGTTCTTCCAGCTGATTGGGTATCCATCTCTCATGTCCAGCTTTTAGCCAACCACAGCAGCAGTAGCAGCTGACCAATCACATTCTTCATTTGTTTCAGTATTAACTGATAAATCAATTTCTTACCAAATCCGGTTGAGAGGAAAACACAAACATCTTCTCCATCCACAAAGGCAAAAATCGTGTCCTTTTGCTCATTTTTCTAAAGTAATAGAGGTATTCCAGCTAAAACAGGAGCAGACATTTTAGTTTTCTTCAGCCTTCTGCCTCTGGTTAACATGTCGTCATCCAGGTCTCTGCATTTCAAATAGTTCAAAAGGAACAATTGGCTTTATCATGTTTCTATTGTCATCCTCTATGATATCTAAATGCTTTAGACTTCAGGTTTATCACAGTGATGCACAGTTGCTTCACCTCAGACCGAGTCATTAAATAGGAGGAGCTTGAACTGTATGAATATTTGTCATGAGAATAACAAAAAGTTTGTCTCAGGAATGTAGTGTGGATTAGTTTTCACTCTAGCCTTTAAAGTGAAGCAGAAATAAACCGGGGAGGGAAAAGATTGAAACTGTGTTTTGTGATGGAAATCAATATTTCTTTGGGAGAATAATGTGATGGAAAATGTCATCTATGTTAACTTCATCCTGTTTTTCTAAGATGTTCTGCATTACCCATATTGTGTCTTCAGAAGAGGAGCATTGTGTCCTTTTACCATCCTTTTAAATCTTTCTCTTCTTATTGTGTCTAAGGAGTTAGAGAAGGTTTACAACTAGCTCTGTACTGAGGTCAGCGAAGACAGAATGCTGGATAAAGAGCTGGATCAGAGCAGAATGGGATGCAGCTCTGGCTTTCTGGAGAGCACCTCCCTTTTATTTTGGCCTTCTGTAATAAATGTGTGTGCAGGTTGTTGGGGCGTTGTTGGGCGACACAAGGATGAGTGTTTCTAAGCACCTGGTGGAGAAATGTCCTGGGTCCTGAGTAGCGAGGAAACAGGAAGCCATTCTTGTGGGATGGAAGAAGGAAATGCTGAAAACAAAGAAGATTGGAATAAAGTTGAATCAAAAACAAAAAAGGGGGAGTCCAACACAGAACAATTAAGATGAACAATCTAGAAATTCTACAGGAAAACAAAATGATAACAAAGTAATATGGAATATTACTCGACAAATATGGAAAATGAGGGAAAGGAGTAAAAATGAAATGCTGTAACTGTGGTGGAGAACATCCTGCTGCGTATCACGGATGTGAAGAGAGCAAAAGATCTGAAGAGAGAAGAAAAGTGAAATTAGAGCTCGGAATAACTTTACTGATGCTGCAAAAAGAATCCCATCCCAGTCAGAAAGACCCAAATCAACAGTGGTGAAAATGAGCCTTGCAAAATCTCTAGAGGAGCGTCCCAAAATGGCAGAAGACTCATTCATTGTAAAAAAAGAAGGATTTTGTACTTTTCATGGTAGAAGTGATCAATTATAGCGCTCAGACCACAAACTGAAAAAATCCGAATAATAGTGAAAGCTGCAGAAAAGTACAGGGATTAAAGTATTCTGGCCCTAAGCCAGATTTTCAGCTGGTAGCGATTAGGGGTGTAAATAATAATCGTTTTGTATCGATGCATCGATCCAAAAGCCGACGATCCGATGCATCGACACGTCCGCAAGATAATCGATTAATGTTTTTTTTTTCCCTCCGGTCTATTTTTATCCATTTGCTCCTGGGCGTAATTCTCCCTCCCGTGCTGCGGTGCCGCTAAACCTATTTTGCCCTCCTACCGCGCTTCCTGGTTATACTCTTACAGCAGTTTGTTGCAGCAAGCTTCACACAGACATTTTTAAATTATGCTCAGTATAGGGCTCGGGATCCACGTTGCATTGTGGGACGTCGCGGTCATATTGACGGCTACGCAAACGTAAACATAGCTCTGATACAACGTTGTTGTTGAAACAAGAGACGTAGAAGTAGAGAGAAAAAAGATGTCGAAATCCCGAAAAAGATCTGGAATTTACCAGGACACATTAAATAGAGAAGCCTCGGACCGGTATGTTGACAAAATCAGCATTATTAATAATTTGGATCCATATAAAGTTCCAAACAATGAGTGGAGCACCGATGAGTGAGCGCCTATACTTCAAAACAGTTCCGAAGCTACAAGTCCTTGGAGTCTCATATGCAGTTCATGAATGGATGGGTTCAGGAGCTGCAGATCATAAAGCCAGCAAACAGTGGGAACACAGTAATCCGTACGAAGGTAAGCTGTGATCAGACGGGCTCTGGAACCTGCTAGTTTAGCAACCACTAACTGCTAATCCTAACAACCACTCACGCATGTAATGTACTTTTAACTAGCTGCTATGTGTTTCAAAGGTGTAGTTAGTAACGTTAACTGCCAACCCTCCGGGTTTCTCACGTATTTGAGCCTTTTCCCGCTGCCGTTTTTATTGTTTTCCCGTAAAAGATCCCAACTTTGAAGGAAAGAAACAAAGTAGGCTATAAAATAAAACCGTGCATCTTTACCTTACCAGAATGAAAATGCAGGGAACACACTCTCAATGACATTGGAATACTGTGGAAAGTTATGTTCGGTCGTCTTACAGCCGCGATCCAAGCTAGCCGACGACTCTTTTTCTCTGACGCTTGGTCTCCATGGTTACGCCTCCAGGCAGGAAAGCGGTGGAAAGTTAACCCATTTTCTATGTTTTTCCCATGGCGATCATGTGTTGAGCTGTTACAGCCCACAATACAGCAACGGTTTACCATGGTTGAAATCAAGTTAAGGTCAAATTAATCAGGCTGAGAAGGAGTACAGTATGTGGTAGTCATAGGCAGTAGTCTGAGCCGCGGTAAAAGAGGCCGTCAATATGGCGGCAACCTAAACTGCTTACGTCATGACGACCAAGCCCTATAGAAGCGTGGTCTGGGCTACACGCTGTGGGTCTAGATACGGCCGAGGCGATGAGGAAGTGGCGGCGAGTTTAGTCCGACGACGGAGGGACAATGGGGCAAAAAGAGCGGAGATTCAGCTGGAAAAAGGCTCCCAGCGTTCTCGCGCACCTCGCTATTCTAGCGGGTCAAACTTCACGAGTTGATTTCCGCAATTTCGGTCATAAAAACAAAACAAGCCGGCCTCCTGTCTGGTGCACTGTTTGCGGTCAGCTACAATCTGGGAGAGGAGCAGCGGAGCGTCTCTCAAGGGGCGGTGACGTCAACACTCTGGAGCCTTCTTCTTCTTCTTTTTTTTAATGGCGGTTGGCAAACAACTTATAGTTGCATTACCGCCACCTTCCAGAATGGAGTATGGACCAGACAAACTATTATATTCTCCCTAAAATACCCGTTCTTCTTAGAAAATTAAAAATACTACCAAAAACTACATCCCCAGATGACCTTTGAAACAATTCCCTTATATCTAGTTTATTTTTATTCCTGTCTAACTCTCTACACAACATCTCTCTTTCCTGAATATATTTATTACATTCTAAAAAAATATGTTGGAGAGTTTCTCTGGAGCCGAGGTATTGCATTGAACTCATTACACTGATATTGTGCAGTATTTCTGCAGTATTTTTTGATGCAACTTTTCTACTTCTGTTATTTGCTGTTGTTTCTAAAGAAAATGCATAATGATTTTACAGCTTTCATTGATTTATTTCAAACTTGAAACTTTGTTTAGCCTGTAAGGTGTAAAAAAAATAAAATAATAATAATAATTAAAAAAAATTAACCGATTAATCGATTAATCGAATCGAATCGTGGTGTATTCTTAAGTATCGAAAATAATCTAATCGTTGGGTCAGGAAATCGATACTGAATCGAATCGCCATGATGGATGTGATTTACACCCCTAGTAGCGATTGCCCATGGCTTAGGGTGACCAGACATCCCCGATTTCCAGGGACAGTCCCCGTTTTAGACCACCTGTCCCCTGCTAAAGCTGTCCCCACCTATGTCCCTGATTTTACCGTTTTATGAATAAAGGGGAAATGTTGCATAGAAACTGTTACTATAGTAACAGAAACAGCTGTTAACGTATAGATGAGGAGCAGAGCGCTTCAGTTTGAAAATAGACGAGGAAGTTGGTTATCACAGCCGGCTGGATGCAGCTACCCTGTGTTACCCCGATATCCCACACCGTCTGTCAGCGCTCCGCTGCGCTCCTCCATCTGACCCCTCCTTTATTCTGTCTGTTGGAGTTTCTTCAGTTGGTTTGGTCAAATGTTTTTTTCTGCAGCAGTGACAGCAAGTATCCTCCTCTTGAGTGATACGGCTGAGTTACTTTGCTCTTCTGTGACGAGGAACCCAGACAAGAGCAAAAACAGCCTCTGGCTCTACTGGAGATCAGCTCAGGCAATTCTTTACTTTCTTTAATAATTCTTTATGGGGAAACAACTTTAGGTCAGAATGAACTTCATATCTTCAGGTTTCTTGGCAGGATCCACTCGCTCCTCAAACTCAAGGGCAGAGTGTGGTGCTCTTATGTGAAGTGTCCTTTATTTAACCACCAATAGAAAGTCTTTCTGCTGTGTTTCTCTTTTCAGACCACCTTCAGGATTATGTTGGAAAAGAGGTTTTCTCTGACGTATGCTTTTACGTAGTTAGATCAACAAAAGAATAAAGTGAAGTGTCCTTTCTTTAGCCTGTAATAAAGTTTTTCTGCTGTGTTTGTCTTTCAGACCGCCTCCAGGATGATCTTGGAAAAGAGGAGGATTTCTCTGACCAGCAGCTCTGTGGTGAGGAGAGGAATTCCTGTTTGGATCAAGAGGAACCAGAAGCTCTGCAGATAAAAGAAGAGCAGCAAAAGCCAGAAGATCCCTGGACAAAAGAGGAAACCATGGAGCTCCCCATAAGTGAGCAGGAAGAGCAGCTTGTTCTGAAGCAGGATTTTGAAGAGAAACCTTCCCCATGTCTGACAGGGGGAGAAAACTTTCTAAAAAAAGAACAGTCAATATCTGACATGAGAAATCAAGCTGGTCAGAAGATTTATGAATGTTTGTCCTGTGGAAAAATGTTCACACAGAAATCTAGACTTAATCTTCACATCAGAATTCACACAGGTGAGAAGCCTTATTCCTGTACATCTTGTAACAAGAAATTCACTTGCAAAAGTAATTTGACTTCTCACATGAGAATTCACACTGGTGAGAAGCCTTTTGAATGTTTGTCCTGTGGAAAAATGTTCATACAGAAATCTATACTTAATCATCATATCAGAATTCACACGGGTGAGAAGCCTTTTTCCTGTACATCTTGTAACAAGAAATTCACTCGCAAAAGTCATTTGACTTCTCACATGAGAATTCACACTGGTGAGAAGCCTTTTGAATGTCTATCTTGTGGGCAAAGCTTCACCTCTAAGACCCGTCTTAATCATCATATCAGAATTCACACGGGTGAGAAGCCTTTTTCCTGTACATCTTGTAACAAGAAATTCACTTGCAAAAGTCATTTGACTTCTCACATGAAAATTCACACTGGTGAGAAGCCTTTTGAATGTTTGTCCTGTGGAAAAAGCTTCACTGAGAAATCTACTCTTAATTCACACATCAGAATTCACACAGATGAGAGGCCTTTTTCCTGCACGATTTGTAGCAAAAGTTTTACTCGCAAAAGTCATTTGACTGCACACACGAGAATTCACACGGGTGATAAGCCTTTTGAATGTCTATCTTGTGGGCAAAGCTTCACCTCTAAGACCCGTCTTAATTATCACATCAGAATTCACACAGGTGAGAGGCCTTTTTCCTGCACAATTTGTAGCAAAAGTTTTACTCAAAAAAGTCATTTGCATAAACACATGATAATTCACACAGGTGAGAAGTTGTTCTCCTGAACGATTTGTGACAAGGGTTTTAAACAAGACGGTTATTCGGTTATTCAGATGACATTTATTCATTCATGATGTGGAATGATTTATATTTGAGGTGGGCATATATTCATTTCTGTAGTCTTGGAATTAATCTAGATCAATCTAGATTAAAACGGCTGATTTGAATTCTGCCAAATGGCTTCATGAATCACAATCAGAATAACTTTATCAATCCCTTGAGGGAAATTGTTTTCTTGCCATGCGAAAGAAATTTACAGAAGAGGGGAAAAATTAGATTGTGAGTACAAATAAGATATAAGAATAAAATCTGATAAGGATGATATGTGTGTGGTACCTAAATAATAAGTAAAAGTAAGTCTTTGAACTGGTGCATTAGACCAGGGGCTCATCTCCTGTTTCCAGAATGCATCACATAATACTACTGAAAGCAACATTTTCAAAAAGCATCCAACTTTACCCACATTCACCAAAGCAATCATCAAGAAGCAAACATAATGTGGTAATAATTTGCTGTGTCTTGGTAAAATGAAATTTAAAATGACTAAACATGGCCTACCTAAAGTGAAGGAGTGCAGTTCCCAGCTGGCATCAATGAGGTGTCCACTAATGCTGAGGTAGTTCTCATTATAGACAGATGTCTAGTGGTCCCTCGTCAGCGCTAAACACGTCGCCTCAATCAACTTTAGCAGCTTTCTCTGCAGCGTACTGCTCATTTATTCTCCTCCACAGTTAGACGCCACAGGTATGAACACTAGTTCCATGTTTGACTGGTGAGAAAATGTCCATCTAGAAACTCCTTCACCTCACTATATGAGAAACTCACAGGTTAATGGTCTTTTTCAAGCAAAGTTTTGAGAAAGCCATTAATTAACAGCTCTTTTTACATAGAAACTAGAACAGATAAGGTGTTCTATTGTAAACTAGTAAATATTCAGGTCCTGGGTGAATATGTGGATGTGAACATTTGAAAGTTAATTATTTTGGACCTGAGTAAATTAGTAAGAAAGTTGCCTTGACAAAAAAAGGTGTTTGTATTCATCATTCAGATAAAAGAACCTTTTAGCTGAATGATAATCTATTGGTTGGAAATATTCCAGAAACATACATTCAGATAAAAATATCCTCAGATGAAAATAAAAGCAAAGGTAGGACAGATTTAATGAGCTTTGCTCAGTTTTGCTGATTATTCTGGGGGATTTTTTAAGAATTCAGCTGCAAATGATCAGAGTTTTGCTAATTCAGTGTCTTGTTGGCTTTCATTAGCAATGCATCAATCAGCCCTGCTACGTGTGTTGTTGAAACCAGGCCCACCAAAACTCCAACTTTATTTGGCCCAGTGTTAGAGCTATGGTCAATAGATATTAGAATGAAGTAGATCATCTATAGAGGAGTCTCAGATGAAGATTTGGGACATATAGAAGTGTGTGTCAGTCTCAGAGTTAGTCAGCTACAAGCTAATTAATGTTGTAAAGTAGCTCCAGCCGCCTTTAAAGGCTCTGGATTATGGGGTTAAACTACGGGACATCAAAGAACTCAGTTTAGAGGCTGGAGTCTGTAGTTCAGGGAAAATGAAGTCCTAAAATGATGAAACATGTTTGTTTAACAAGATAAACAAGATTGATGATGTTGCTGTTATTTTACTGATCAGTTTGAACCTGCTTTAACTCGGTAAAAAGCCTTTGTTTTAAAAATGTATTAAAGAAATCTGACTCTCCTCTAGAAGTTAAAAGTTTCTGCTTTTTAGAGATTTTTGAAAGTATAATTTTCCTTTGAACTAATTCTAACAGTTTTGTTCTTGATTCTGTAGATTTTCTATTTTATACAACTGATTTTATGTTTTATATTCTGCTGTGGATGTTTTTTATTATTGTAATCACTTCTAAATTGATGAACAAGCAGCAATAAAAAACTCATGGATTGAAACAATTTGCTTCTTTTTATGGTTTCATATTAATTACAATCTTTTTCCATGTTTTCTCTGATGTTTTCAGACAAACTAAAGCTCTAAAATAAATAGTTTAATTCATGGGCGTAGGTTTGCATAGGGACCATAGGGACATGTCCCTACCAAAATTTTGAACCGACCTAATTGTCCCTACCAATAGTTGGATGTGAGCAACATGTTTATAATTTACAGCAGTAGTTGTTGCAGCAGTGGCTTCTTTTCCTCTCGCAGCTCCTCTGCCTGGTCTCTCCTGTCCCTTTCATGTAGCAGCGCATGGAACTGTGCTGCGCTGTTTAACTCCACTCTCATTGGTTGTTCTGCCTTAGGTTCCGCCTTCTCTCCCTCTGATTGGCTGTTTTCTAGTCCGCGTGTGCTTGGAGCACAACATTGAAAATGTATTCACATTAGAATGCTGCGGTTATTATTAGGCTACAAAACAAGTCCCAATAAAAAAAAAATAATATCATGTACACTAAAAAACAAAAACCTTTTTTTTTTTCTTTTATAAAACGAAATATTCTGAGTCAGCCAGGAGTTCTGAAGACTGCTGGAAAATTGGGCAAATAAAGGCTGTAAGCCATCAACATTCCTGATTCTTAGCCACAGCCAGCTAAAAAAGAAAATGTGAGGGTTTCCTTTTCACCAATATTTAGTTGCTGTTACTGTTTTCATTTTTTGATGACTCTTTGAGGAAGTTCAGGTATAATTATTAGCAGGTGTTATTTCTCTTATAGAGTATAACAACAAGAAATGGTGGCTAAACATCTGCTGTTTATCGTTTAAAAAGCATAATTAGGGTTCCACATAATAATAGTTCTATTTTATTGGCTATTTATACTTCTAGAAATAGGATAAAGACAAGAACAAACAGATGAAGAATATCAACATTCATTTTATCTTACATAGATTTCCACACAGTCTATAAGTAAATTAGTACAAACATTAATGTCTGGTAAAAATGCTTGAATCTGGCTGTTTATTTTTGATATTATTAAATTACAGATAAGATATAAGATAAGTTATATTGTCTTTTATAATTGTTAAAAGTGATTTTATATTTGAATAAACTTAGGCTCATTCTTAGTGTTGTGTTTGTAGATGATGCCACTGAAAAAGAAAATAGACAAAAGGAGCTATTTAAACAGTCAGACAGTAAGCAATATAGGATGATGATAAAAGGTTGTGTTACATTTAATCCTTTACTATTAAAAATGCACTTATACATTATATGATTATAGGAAACACAGATATCCAGTAATAATGATCGAGGG